GCATTCTTATTTATTTATCATATTAGTCTTTTCAAAACTAATGTGATAGATAAATTAATTTAATTTAATTTACTTATTATTTTTATTTAAAAAAAAAAAAATTTAATTTAGGTTTTAGGCAACAGAATTTCATATTTATAGAAATAAAATATTCATAGTATTCATATTATAATAATAATACTCTAAGATTGATTGAATAGCTAGCTAACAAATAATTCTTGTTCTTGGTGTTATAAAATCTCTAAAAATATTATATATTTTAATATCCTGTACAGAGAATAATGTCGTGATGGCCTTTAAGCATAAATTGACAGCTCTCAAGAGTTTGTTGAATATTCGCTTTGAGGCGCCTACATTGTGACAGCAAATGGGCAGAGGAAAGCTCAGCTTTGAGTTGAATGGGGAGCAGTTAGCGACACACACACACACATACACAAACAAGCACACTCACACTTGGAAAAAGTGCAGCATACCGCACGGCGCACGTTTTCTTTTGTAAACTTTATTATTTCGTGTTAAAAGTAAATAAACTTATGCGGGTCTGCTCACCCTCCTGCTCTCCTTATCCCCTCCCCTGCTCCATCTCTCGTTCTCTCTTTGGCTATCTGTGCAAGTATCCACACTTAAGTGAAATACTAGACGGGGGACTCGCACATGTGTGTGTGTGTGTGTGAGTGTGAGTGTTTTTATTACTGCGAGCGAGGATTGGTGGGGGCGTTTGCATTGTTTGGCACTTGCGGTGGCTTTGCCTTTGCCTTCCTGCTGTCAGCCAGCCAGTCCAAATTGAAATTGGACATTAGACGTACACACAACGACAGAACAAAATGGCAGCTGCCGCGACTCTGCTGACAACTACAGCAACAACAACAACAACAACTACCAACAGCTGCAACAACTACTTCAAGTCCTGCCTGGTGGCGCACTCATTGTGAATGACAACGCCCCTGGTACGTGATTTCATTTCCGTTTGGCTTTGTACGCTGCACCTCACAGCTGGCAACGTTCGTCGAGTCGCTGTGAATCTGAAGTTCTCGACTCTGCTCCCCGCTGCTGCCCAGCCCTCTGCTGCGCCGCATCCACTTCATTCTGGCTCTTTCTTTTTTGGGGGTCGCTTTGAATGCCAAAGCGACTAACTGTAACTGTGCGTACATAACGTCTATATACATACAGTTGCACTAGTGTGTGTGGGGCCTCGGTAAATGCACATTTTACTGTGCATGCGTGTCGCTTCATTAAGAATTTTGCGCTTATCTGGTTGGCTGGCCCGGCCACTTGACAGGTGGCTCCACCTACCGTGCACAGTACGCACTACACACTTTATGCGTCTTTTGGCTGATTTACGAGAGGAACTTTGAGAGTGTGATTGAGTGTGTGTGCGTGTGTCTAAAGGGTTTATGTGACTACGGCGTGTTGCCTTCTCCATATAATCCAGAATATCCAAAGGAGCTATCAAATCAAGTCAAAGAAATTAAGCAAACTTAATTGATTGTAATGCCTCTGTTTGACTTGTGAGGCGAGCCAACTAGATGACATCAAGTGCTAATTATGCCAATATTTGGTCACATCGGCCCATGGTAAACCAAATAATAATGTGCCAGCTATATAAATCAAAACTCATTTAGATGCAAAGTACAGTTCGAGCAAAGCAGATTGCATGATTAAATGAAAAAATATCAAACAAATTTGATCTTCAAACTATGCACTAGAGTACAGCAAGAGGCAGTCGGAACCTGAGTGAGTGAAAACTCCAAAGTGAATTCGAATGATTGGCCCATCATTTGGACAAATTAGCATTTACACAGACTCGCAGCCGAGTCTTAATTACAGCTAATCAACAAGATGCCAAAACAAAGCGGCCAAGAAAGCGGGCAAGAAGCCGCAGAAGATGGAAACGCCAATAACAGAGACGCACCTAGCCGATGCTTGGGTAAAATCTAAATTTCAAAGTCAAGGCCAACAGATGAGCCATAATTAGCCCTCCGTTTGTGGCGCTCAGCAAACGAGCACATTAAAATATGCATACAAATTATGCATGAAGAAGAAACAGAAGGCAGTTAAATATATAATAAAACTAGTTGGCTAAGACAAAAGAGCGCCAAACTGGAACAGAATTGTATTAGCCATGCGCCAGACTAGCTGTACGCGAATGCACGAGCTGGTAGACACTGCAGATGAGAGATGAGATGAGATGTGGGACAGGCCTTTGATTGTACTGCAGATGATCGGAAGCTAAGCCATGCAAATCGTATGCCCATAAATTGGCCGTCAAGAGATCGGCATTTACATACGCGACTCTGACTCGCCTGAGAAATGGGAAACAAACAAAACGCTGAAAAGTTCCAATTTGAAATTTGGTAGCTGCATATAAAATTAACAACAAGTTTTCAGATTCGCTTGGGCCATGAATCTGTTTGACTATTTCAGTGGCGCGTCTTGTTTGCGCTTCGCTTACGAATGGCATGATCCAACCGCTGACAAAGACTGACTGAGAGAGAGCGAGAGAGAGAGGGAGACGGTTCATAAATCTACTAGCCAATATTTGGACAGCGCAAAAAAATTAAGCAGCAATGCTCATGATTAACGGCTTGATAAACTGAATTTGTAGTTGCAATTTAATCCGCAACACCACTCATCTAGCTGGCTGCCTGGCCGCAGACAGCGTCGTGCCAGCAAATTAAGATATCACCATAAATAATGGCAGGCATACGCAGAGCTAACTATAGACTATGAGGAAATAATGCACGAGTCAAGGAAGGGCAGCCAAGGCGCGCAGTTCTATACAAGTTTAGTATTTAAACACTGTTCATTTACTAATGGCATCTATCGAAATTTCCAACTAAGAATATTAAAGAAATTTTATGAGGGTGCGGGCGTCAGTCCAACAAATTAACATACGGAAGACTAAAGATTGCCTATTGTCTCTCAGATGCTTATGTTTCGCATAACAATGCAGAGGATGAACAAAAGAGTGAGCGCCGTCAACGCTTTTAACGTGTTTCCTTATGGTATCACAACTGAAACACTTTTGCAATATAGTTTTAATTTATTCATGTGTTTCAAATTAAGCTAAAAATAAAAGCACCATTCAGAATAATATTAAGTGCAACAAGAACTCAAATTAAAAACAAATAAACAACAAATATTTATGTTGATAATTTTAAGCGTGATTTATATTAAAAATAAATAAATAAATAATGAATTGAAAAATTAAAAATAAATAAACAACAAATATTGAAAATTCTAAGCATCATTTATATAATTCAATTATTTAATTTATATGATGATTTCTTAGGCAGGGACAATTTATAACAGAAAAATAAAAATAATAATAATAATTTAAAAATAATAAAAAACATATATATATAGATCAAAGTAAAATAAAACTAATAATAATAATAATGAAAATAATAATAATAAAAACATATAGATACATATCGATCAAAATAAAATATTAATAATGCTACAAGAGTATAAATTGCAAAAAATGAGTAAATTACTACAAATTACAACTAAAAACCCAATATAGACCAAATAGACATAATAAAAAAATATGTATAATAAATAAATATATCAATAAAAAAATAATAATAAGAATACTCAACAGAATTATTGTTTCGTTTTCGTTCAATTAAATTTTAATTATTTGATTATTCATTTAAATTATTTGTATTTGAATTTCCGATACAATCTATTAAGTATGTGTGAATGTGTGAATGTGAATTATATTACATTATTCACTCAATTATTCGCACTCCGAATTGGGCTTAAGCATATGTTAAATGTTTACGATAGCACTCAAATATTTTATTGTGAACAATGCTCAGAGCAGCTTCTGTGTCTTTTAATTATCATAAACAATGGCAATCATTTGCATGCCATACAAAAGCCACAAATCAGCAAAGCGGAATCAGACTCCAGGTATATTTTGCGATCGGTTCATGAACGAATCGCTAATGAGCTGTTGAATAACTCGGCAGCAAGCTACATATGTTCATGACCGAATGAGCTATTTTAATCACTTCTCATATTTACAGGGTATATTTCAATATTTATACAAGTTACGACTTCATTTCAAATTAAAATATATTTATATTAAATGACTTCCTGAAGGCGAGTCTCTTCTATAAATATTTCCACAAGCGATTAAGACAATGGCCCAGCAGCGAGCAGCCTTCACGAAGCTGTCAGCCAAATCAATTTGAAGAAGTCACGTCTGTAGCCAGACCCATATTCGAGCGTGAGCAAACGGAACTGGTTTCTGGCAATAAAGTGAGGCAGAATCAACATATTAATGGCCAAAGGCCAAAGACCAAAGGCCCATGAATGTACAATGTCTATATAAATAGAAATGAACGGGATAGAGACGCATCAAAAGAAAAACAAGCTAAGAACAAGCAACCGAAAGGGAACGGTAAAAATTATGTCAGCATGAGCTAAAAGTCGTCTTAGCCATGCCATAAACAATGCTTAAACACTTTCCATCTAGCGTAACCAACAAAAAGTTTAAGCGAAACCAGTTAAATGTAATTTGCGAATTTCCGGCTCGACACGAGACGTGCGTAAACCGGACTCTGCAAAAAATACTGAGAATAAAAATTAATTTGTGTATCAATGAAATGCATAGATGTAGAAAAGTTCCCGTTAGCTGGCGCTCTTCATTATACTTGATGAGGTTATTAAAAAGCAATTTGATGGCATAAATTAAACAATCCGCCAATAAATTCTGTGGCAAACAAGTTGCCATCAAGATTGGGGCCCATTCCTCAATCGACTGGCCCTCAAAGACAATTTAGTTAGCAACTCTTAATGAGCTTCTAGCCATATTCAACAGTCAATATTCAGCATTCAGCATTCAGCATTCAGCATTCAGCATTTAGCATTCAGCATTCAATATTCAATATTCAAAATTCAATATTCAATATTCGATTTCGTCTACACCTAAGCAAACAACTGACGCCTCTTCGAGTCAGGTTTTTCACAATCGCCAAGAGTATTTGGACACCCGCTCTCATCTGCGAATGGTATAAATAGTAACAGACCAGGCCCAAACAGACAGAAGCCATTCAAACGCTTGTGGAGTAAGAGCCGAAATATCACCGAAATGGTAAGCCACGATGTCCACTGCTCGGAATTGGGTTTTAATCGCGATCTCTTGCACAGAAATTCTTGGTCGTTGCCGTTGCCTTCCTGGCCTGCGCCAGTGCCGATGTGTCCCACTTGGGCTCGGGCTATAACTATCAGGCGCCCGCTCCGGTCTACCAGCCAGCTCCGGCACCCATCACCTACGAAGCACCCGCTCCAGTTTACCAGCCAGCTCCAGCGCCCGCTCCGGTCTACCAGCCAGCTCCAGCGCCCGCTCCGGTCTACCAGCCCGCTCCAGCTCCAGCTCCAGTCTACCAGCCAGCTCCAGCTCCAGCTCCGGTCTACCAGCCAGCTCCAGCACCCATCCAAATCGAGACACCTGCACCCGCTCCAGTCAACAACTACATTCCACCCGCACCAGTCTCGATCCCAGCTCCTGCTCCAGTCTACCAGCCAGCACCAGCTCCGGTCTACCAGCCAGCTCCAGCACCAGCTCCAGTCTACCAGCCAGCTCCAGCTCCAGTCTACCAGCCAGCTCCCGCACCCATCCAAATCGAGACACCTGCACCCGCTCCAGTTAACAACTACATTCCACCCGCACCAGTCTCGATCCCAGCTCCTGCTCCAGTCTACCAGCCTGCCCCTGCTCCAGCACCAATCCAAATTCAGGCTCCCATCGAGTACTCGGCTCCCGCTCCAGCTCCAGCTCCAGTCTTGACGTCGCAGCAGGCTCTCGAGCAGATCGAGCAGCCCTCCATTGATGGCTACCGTTACAAGACTGTGCGTCGTGTCGTCTACCGTCGCAACCGCCTGTAAATCTAGAGCTCCTAAATGCAACGCATCCTAACGAATCTCCCATAGAATATCAATAAAATAAAAGAAAATCTAAAACGAAAACTTTGCCAAATTGTTTTCCAATCAAAATGCCAGCCCGGCCGCACTCAATCAGCAACAGTCCCAATCAGCGGCTGCAGCCAGCAGCTCCAACTTTATGGGCACTTGAAGGCAAGCCTGCTCTCCACTCTCTCTCTCTCTCTCTCTCTCGCTCCCTCTATGGCTGGGTCCTGCATCGATTCAAGTTGGAAATTTATGAAAGCCAAATGCATGCTTGGGAGAGAAGAGAGAAATCAACTTAGTATCCGCATCGCAATCGCCATCAGCAGACAGATAGCAAGAGGTGGCCGTCAAGGAGTTGCAGGAGCGGCAGCTCGGCCCGCTCCCTGAGGAGTCGCCGCACGGCATTCGGCATGCACTCACATTTATCACGAAATTTATGGGCTGGAATGAGCTTTGATGATGTGGAAATTTTTCTCGTTAGATTCAAAAGTTCAGCCCACAGCCACGCCCACAGCAACGTGCACATTGGCCTCATCAGACCACTGACCACTTGTGGCTGCGACTGCCGCAATTGCGCTAACAAGTGCCAGGACTAGCCGAGCACAAGGGGCAAAGGCCCGGCCCGGCCCGGCAAACGGAATACGGACTACGGACTACGCCGGGTCGCCGACCAAGGAAAATTAACAAGAAACTGCGATGACATCGACGACGACGTCTTTACGATTTGATTAGGGAAATGTCTGCAACGACGCGTTGGCTCCAATGGATTTAACTGCCCGGCCGCTGGCCCGGCTCACAGCGCTGGCAATATAGTTTGGGCATCCAGTTTAAAGCCTCGCCGCAGAAGCCGCACACATTACACGGCGTATACTAATTAAAAAGATAAACAGACTAAGAGTAGGTTGGCCAGCAAATACCCTAAGTAAACTTGAATTATAATTTTCATTCACTTCTGGAACTAATTTGAGGTCAAATAGGGTTTGCTTTGCACTCTCTATCTATCTGGAACTTTAGTTAATTTGTCAACAGTTAGTTACTACAGCTGCCTGTTACAAACCCTTGCTCCATTTCATCATGTCCCAGCTTGTAGCAGAATCCTCTACAATAACAAAAAAAAGCTGCCAAATTAATTACGTAATTAAAACAAATCATTTTTTGCTCTCGGCTCTGCCTAGCCGTGGCAACCGCATCACGCAGAGCGAGGACAAAGGACAAACGACAAGAGTCCCGGGCAACACCAGCCAGTGCTCCATGTCCAAGCCGGCTTTTGTTAATTGCATTTTGGTCAAATATTGGCAGCTTAATTAAATGAATTAAAATGCGTTTACGCTTTGATGCGCACATCCCGATATAAATAAATAAATATACCCATATATACTTACATATACTGGCGCATAGTACGCGCTGCTGGACAATGTGCAAATTGCACTGGTCCAGCTTGACAGCCAATTACAATTTATAGACTATTGAACTTGACCACACTAATCAGTGGGTGTTTGTTCCAGGAATGTGCAGTTGCGGTTGGCTAGGCTTGAGAGATTAGAAGTAGACATAAAAGAACATTAATATTTGCCGATAACCGAATACTAACTATATATTCAAATTCCCACACTCAACAGAAAAAAAACTTAAGAGTATGAGTTTGTCAATGTTTATCTATATCTTCATTATCGTTATATTTGTTGAAGAAAGCCCCTGATGAATTCCATAAATTTACTATTGCATTCAGCAATAATTTTGTAATTCTCGATTCAAAAATATATATTAATAAACCATTAATCTGTTATTTCAATAGTTCTTATTCCAAGACGTATTTTGTATTTAAACAAACATTTATTTATACTGGTAGAAAATCATTTTAAAATCTGATTTGTGAAACGTATATATTTATTTAAATGTTGTTTTCTTATATCTTAAATTTATAAAAAAAAAATATATGAAAAAGAAATGTCCATAAGTAAATCATGTAAAAGAAAAGTTTATTTAAAAGTTAAAAAAGTTAAAAAGTTCATGAAAAACATAAAACACACAATAGAACAGAAAATAACGGCAATATGAATTTCTAAAGGAAATATAAACAAGTAAGAAAGCTCTAGTCGAGACTGCTCGACTACGAGATCCCCTGAACCCTACAAG